TTATATGTAGATTTTTTTTGTAATTGCTTTTATAGTAATAGTTTTTCTATGACTTTTATAATTGAGTCTTTTTTTAGAATTTTACCATTTACGAAACTTTCTTTTTTTTCAAAGCAGAGTTATTAACTATGGAGTAAAAAAAGATCATGTGATACTTGAAAAAAATTCCATACTCTAAAATACAATAAAATTCAAGTATTTAATGCAACCACAATGGGTATGAGTGGTTTTCTACTGCACTATTATTTTCTTACAAAAATTATATCTTACTTTTGTTGCAAAACATTATTCATTAATACTATAGTTTTAACTTTTTGCTTTTGTTGTTATTATGTTTTATTTCTTAATGATATTTATTTGTATTTTTTGAGTATAAACACATCATAAAATATGTAATTTCGATTTTCATAATACAAACAATTATTTCATTAGTATTATTTTTTGAAATGACGTGGTTTTTAATGGTGTTAGTTCTTTTGTTTTAAATTTTTATTTCTATCTTACTTATGATTTGCGATTTGCTATTGTAACTATCTATTTGTGTGGTAATATAATTATGATTTAGAGATAGTTTGTGTTTTTTTCATATTAAAAAATCATTAATTTAGTTAACATTATTTGACATATAGAATAAAGGGAGAGATGAGAAGAGGATATAAAAGTGTTACATATCAATTTCTCATATTAACATTTTTTTTTGTTGAATTTTTTAATGAGCACACACATAAAAATATAAATGAATAAAAAATTCAACAAATTATTATCATCTCATTTTTAGATCTACATTTCATTTTTTAGATCCATAATCTCATTTCTCTTCTCTTTTCTTTTTTAAATATTATGGATGACTTTAAAGGAAGGTTGTAATATAATGGTATAAAATGAAATCTTTTTAAAATCTTTCACAAACTTAATTGGTACACACAATTTTAATATTTTGTACATTGTTAACTTCTACATGTACTATAGAAATAAAAACCATTTCCTCAAAAAATTATGTATCTTGATAAAACAGTTTTAAAATATTGTCACATTTATTAATACTTAATATACTGTTCAAATATACAATGACAGTTGCAAAAATATATAACTTCCATTATTTTATCTTTTATGTCTATATGTGTGACCTTGCTATTGAACAAAACATTAAGTATGAAAAAATAAAATGAAAATATTAATAAAAAAATTTATTGTGAATTATTGAAAATTTGAAACACGACCATTCACTTTCTTGAATTAGTTGAATTTTATTGTTAATTTTTTATTTACGATTTTTATTTTTGATGTTAAAGAGAGATGCACAATAAATGTCATATTACTTACAAATTTAATTTGAAAAATAATTTAAATTTTAATTAATTAAATAAATGACATTTCAAAATTTCTTACAAACATAAGGATGCATATCAGAAAATTTAGTATTCAAATAATTTAAATTTAAATCATACTTAAATAAAAAAATATTCGTTTATATTTTGACGTGTATGCTCATTAAAAAAAAGACAAGCACGAGAAGAGTCGTGTGTGGAGCATACATGTTCGCAGGGGATGTACGTGTTGTTCAGTTTACTCTACAAACTCCTCTCTAAACACTTTCATCAAATTTATAAGAGAGAGGGGGAAGGGGGAGAGAGGAATGCATATTACAAAGTTTACTATACAAATAATTTAAATTAAAATCAAAATTAAATAAAAAATATCCGTTCGTATTTTGACGCGTGTGTCGTGGCCGTTTGGACGCTATCAAGACTATGTGCCACAAGGTAATACCTGAGAGATGTTCCGCCTCAGGTATTACCTTTCGTATTAACGCACATAAATTAACATAGTTAACCAATAAAAAGATGCAATAAAACCTGAGAGATCAAAGACAACAAATGCTCCACACACGATCAAAGAAAGAAATACATTCAAATATTAGTTTTAAAGATGTATTTCTAATCCACCCAGGCCAGACCAAAAATTGAAATCTGCGGGTTAAGATGGTTCTCATTGAGTAAGCACAACACAAGTAGATTCATTCAAAACATGTGACTTATATCCACAATTGGAAGTTTTCCGTGCCCGGATCAACTCTGAAAAGCATTTCATAAGTCACATGTGAAAGCATTTCTTTGATCTGGCATGAGTGAGCTCACTTATACAGAGACACTCTTAGAAGGCGATTAAAGTCACAATGCTCAACATGTGACTAGATTGTGGTTTGAAAGTGTAAATTGTAGTTTTTTTGTTTATAAGCTGATTATCATGTTTTGACTGGACCGTGTAGGCTTCTATAAGCCCTTTATCTTGGCTTGATTTCACCACCTTTTTTTATTGTACCTGTGTTTTTTTTTAATGTGAGTGTGTAACGAGCTTTGTAGCCCACGGTGAGTAATATGAACGATCGAACAAGATGCATAGACAATACAATAGTCTTCCAATTAACCTTTTGGTGACAACTTACACATGGTGAGATGTCCAATCAATTCATTTTATGATGGAATATATATAAACTCGCATAGACTCGGATAATCCTTAATTCTCAAGATAAAGATCTTAGTTCTTAATCCTCATATTTGTGATGATACCTCTCTTGTGCCCGTCTGTCCGCTTATTTTTCTATGTTGTGCGCATTATGAAAATATGCAAGTAACTTCACACATAATATACACACGTTTATTTTTCTATGCTGTGCGCATTAAAAAAAGCGGACAGACGGGTACGGGAGTGCCCGTCTGAACGCTAGTATATATAAAGGGGATACAAGTTTTTGGTGTGGCCTATTTTTGTTCCAAAAGTACCCTTCATTATTTTTATAAATAACTTTAATTGTTCGTAACTTTTGTTGGTTACCAATTAAAAAACTAACTCCCCTCCCTCACAAAAAAACTTCACATTTATAACTTCCATTAATTATTTTGTTTTGAGACTAAGTTTATCTCCATTGTTAAAAATCATCTTCTATTTCTATCTCCATTGTTAATACTAGGTTTATCCATACAACATCAAATCCATATCAGGAACCAACCCAGGGTACTTCCTCAAAACTACAACAAACCTCAAACACTACACATAGTCTTATTTTCTTTCCTATTTTACCCTTTATGTATTCAAATTATTATTTTCAAAGATAAATTATAATAAGTGAAAGACGGTTACATCATTTTTAAATCAAAAAGCCATTTTGTGACCGTTTTCATATTTAAAAAATAAAATATAAGGTAATTGAATAACTTCCCTCATTTGAAATTTTTTGCTTCATTTTTATCCGTCACTTTTCCTTCTCATGTGGCAGCAACTGATGAGGAAAAGACTTTACCAACAAAACTTGCATGTACAATAGAATTTCAAGCAACACATTTGAAAGAAAAAAAAGTAATATCCATCTTATCTAGGAAAATTGAGATCTATCTCAATCTAAAATATATCACTATTTTATACTTAAAATTTGTCATTTAACCAATTATGTTATTATTTATCATTTAAATGTTGGGATAATTCAATCATATAAACGTTTGAAGAAATTATATTACACAAAAATGTTAAATTTTACATCCTAATTTGATACAATTTTACATCCTACTTTGATACAATTTTACATCTCTAAAGGATAATTCTTTTCTCTTTTCATCTCTCAGGCCGAACTTATTTTTTATTTTTTTTAATTTTGATTATAATTAGTGATATTTTGTCGTGGAAGCTTATGATCTCTCCGGCCGAACTCTAGATTACTAATTTGAAACATTAACCATTCACTTTCTTAAATTAGTTGAATTTTATTGTTAATTTTTTATTTACAATTTTTACTTTTTATATTAGAGACATGCAAAATAAATGTCATATTACTTAAAAATTTAATTTGAAAAATAATTTAACTTTTAATTAATTAAAAAAAAATATTTTAAAATTTCTTACAAATATGAGAGTACCTAAGGAATTTAAATTTAAAGCATAATTAAATAAAAAATATTCATTTAAATTTTAACGCGCGTGTTCATTAAAAAAACAGATAAACGGGCACGGATACTCGTTTAGACGCTTTCTTTTTACATCCATAACATATGCACACTAAAAAAAACATGCGCACATTTTAAGACTACTTGAGGATATCTAAAAACATTATTTTTAATCTTAAGTATGATAAAAACTTCATACAAAATATACACACGTTTATTTTTCTATGCTGTCGTGTTAAAAAAAGCGGACAGACGAACACGAGAGTACCTGTCTGAACGCTAATAATAATAATAATAACTTGTATTCTAGTTAAAAAATCTATAAATAAAAAATTTGTATTTGAAAATACACTAAAAAAATTAATTACAAGTTTTGGATAAAATTAATACACAAATTCTAAAAAGATATTTCCACAATTAATTCTTAATTTGTATTTAAAAAATTAGCATTATTTTATGGGAAATGTTAACAAGTACCCGGAAGCTTGTTAAGAGTTAAAAAAAATATATTTTATTTGAAAAAGTTTAAATTATCACAGAATATATATAAATTAATTTAGTTTGATTTGTCAAAATATATGATAGTTGATTTATATTATAAAATTAATTTATAATGTCCGAATTATTTTTTTTAATATACGTATTAAATTAAATAAGTTTTTCTTATGTGGGCCCAAATCCACTCATATTTTTATAATATTATATTCAACACAACACGGAGTAGTAAGCTATTTTAGTTTATTCTTTGTTTTTATGTTGTTGCTTTGTCGTTGGATTCCAGAAACAAGGATCTTGTCACAACGCACAACCTCACTTCACACGTTTGTTTTCAACATTTACTTCTCAACCTAAACCCAGGTTCCCTCTCTTTCAGTTCAAGTTTTTGTCTTTCCCTCTTTTTTTCCCTACTAATAATTGATGGGGTTTTGTTATGTGTCTCTATGTGGACTTTGGCTTCGTTAATCGTTGATTACGGCAATTTTGCTGAAATTAGGGTTTATGATTTTTTTTAATCTAATTTTTTCAATTCATTATTTCAGTGAAGTTAACACCGCGGAAAAGATGCAGCAGACACCACAAATGATTCCTATGATGCCTTCGTTCCCACAGACAAACATAACCACCGAACAGATTCAAAAAGTATGTTTTTTTCTTCTTCTTCTTGGTTTTTGTTGTTCTTCTCTTCTTTGTGATGATTTTGATATTGAAAGGTTATTATAGTTGTTAAACATGATAGAATGATTTTTTTTTTTTGATAATCTGTACTCTTATTTTTGATGATCTAGCATCTTGTCTGCAAAGTGATAAGATTCTTTCTAGTTGTGATTGGACTTGTAGTTGTACTGGAATGTCACAAATAGAGAATATAAAACTTATGGTGAGAGTGATATATGCATCTAACCGACATTGCGACTTTAATCTGTATCGTGTTTGATTTATATTGATTTTTTCGCGGGTTTTTTGATGTCAACTGATGCGCGCTGTTTTTTTCGCGGGTTTTGTTTGATGTCAACTGATGCGCGCTGATTTTTTTGCGGGTTTTTTGATGTCAACTGATGCACGCTGACTTTTTTTGCGGGTTTTTTGATGTCAACTGATGCACGCTGATTTTTTTTTCGCGCGCTTTTTGATGTCGACTGACGCTCGCTGATCTTTTTGCGGGTTTTCTGACGTCAAATGATGCGCGCTGATTTTTATTGGGAACTTCTTTACCATGTACCTATCCAGCTGGCTGCATCATTGTCTGTATTTGATTCTCGATCTTGAGAACCTGTCCATCTTATTAAGCATACATGATTCTCCTTTTGATACGAGTCGTCGTACATAGACGCATTAGAGATAATCACTTGGAAATTTCCTTACTCTTAAATTTTGTGTTGAGTAAGCATGGAATTTTAATGAAAACTGAGCTGTGAGATTCTGTCGCGAAGGAAAAGATGTGTTAAAATCAAAACGAAAATTAAAATTTAATAATTAAATACTAAAACTAAAATGTCTACCGCCACACTTAAATCACATCACACTATTGTGTGATAGATTGTCCTTTTTTCGTGCTGTCAAATTGCGGCCATGGCGGTTTCGTGGCAGAATGTGGTTACGGAAATTCAACATAGCGCCATGGAGAAGTTGTGGCGTTGCGGATTTTGTATTGTGGTGCCATGGCGGCTGCCGCGAGTTTAATGTTAATGGCGGTATGGCAGAAATTGCGGTTTTCTTGTTTCAGTTAATATGTTCTTTTACTTGTGTTCTACTTGTCTATTCTGAATTGAATGTTTTGAAGTACTCGAGACATGCCCCGACTATTTTATTTACCTTATAACGTCTAATTTGAAAAATTTGAGATATGAATTCTTGTTTTCTCGATATATAATTCTGTTTTTCAAGTTTTATGTTTTTTATATATTTTGGTGCCGTTACTCGTTTTTTAGTTTTAAAATAATCTGGACCATTAATTTTAAGTTAACGTAATTTAACTGTTGTGATTAATCGATTCCATTTCTTACAGTATCAAAGTGTTCAGCGACTCTAGTGAGAACACTTTGATATTGTGAGAAATGAGAACACGAGGGAGATAAAACGTTTCCTCCGACATCTCCATTTACCTCAACCAAACACAGATCCTTAGAGACAAACCCTTGGAAATTTCTGTATTATATAATTCTGAGTCGAGTAAGCATGAAAATTTAATGAAAATAGAGCTTTGAAATTCTGTCACAAATACCTAGAAAAAGATGTTTTTAAGATAGATAAAAGATAGAATATTTGATAGATTAGAGTACTCGTTGCAATTGAAGAAAATGTATTGCAGAGGAAAATGCTAGCCATTCGTGTATAGAATTTGAATGTTTATTTTTCTTGATTATATATGCTTATTTAGTGCAATATCTCAACATTTAAATATCTATTTATCACGCTAGTTATTGCTTCATTGTTTAACTCCCTCTCTTTGCATATGGTGTGCAGTATCTTGACGAAAATAAGAAATTGATTTTGGCAATACTAGACAATCAAAATCTTGGGAAACTCGCAGAATGTGCCCAGTAAGTGCCTTGTAAAATCTCTCTGCATGTTTTTGTTAGTGCTGATTTGCTGCAATTGTTTGGACTTAAATTAGTTATAACCTTTCACTAGAGTATTATTTATGATCTTTATTTCTAATTTTCTAATAACCAATGAAGCACATATACGTCAAAATACGCCTATACGCCTAAATACGGTATCGATAGGTATTGATGGAGTATTATGCTGCGGATATGTTACTCCATTTTTATTGGATATTTTTTATCTTTTCGATGACCACTCTCTGTTTCCATTTAATGATCATTCACTTACCTTTAAATGGCCATTTTATTTAATACCCCATTTAATTTTTTTATCAATTGTTTTTGTTTTCTCCATAATTACCTTTCACAATTTTAAGCAATCTAATAATATGATAAAAGTGTGTTCTGTGTTTGGTTATACTTACAGTTATGCAATGAATTTGATGTCTTAGGTATCAAGCTCAACTTCAGAAGAATTTGATGTATTTAGCTGCAATTGCTGATGCGCAGCCACAAACACCAACCTTGCCTCCGCAGGTAAAAGTCGAACATAGTTTGTCTCTTATAAGTTGTAAGAATTTTCGTAACATTGATTTAACTGTCTTGTAATGTATTGAACTCATTCAGATGGCCCCGCACCCTGCTATGCAACAACAAGGGTTCTTTATGCAGCATCCTCAAGCTGCCGCAATGGCTCAACAACAAGGGATGTTCCCGCAAAAGATGCCGATGCAATTCAGTGGTAATCCACATCAAATGCAGGACCAACAGCAACAGCAGCAGCAACTTCATCAACAGGCTATGCAAGGTCAAATGGGACATAGACCCGGTGGGATAAACAACGGTATGCATCCAATGCACAATGTGCACAATGAAGCTGCTCTCGGTGGTGGTAGTGGTCAGAATGATGGACGTGGTGGTGGAAGCAAGCAAGATGCTTCTGAAACTGGGACAGCCGGTGGAGATGGTCAAGGAAGTTCTGCTGCCACTGCAGCCACGCATAACAGCGGAGACGCATCGGAAGAGGCGAAGTGAGTTAATTCTTAATGTAATATTTAATAAAATAAATCCCTTGTGACTGTTGATATTAGGTTTTGTTTAAAAAGATAGCATATGGCTAGTATGATCTTGATGCCTTTTGATTGGTCGACCAAAGGAGCTTAGGTAGATGTTGTGTTTTCTAGGATTTTGGCGCATGCAGCGGGTTTGTGTCGGCGGAAATTGTTGTTGTCGCAATATTATACTGTAGGAAGTATTTGTTACTGGAAGAGGGTGAATGCTCTTCAAGTCTGTGTTTAACTTTTTTTGTAACTTTATTTCATTCTTAATTTTCAGTAACTTTTTATAGTAAGTTGTTATTGAGGAGTGCTTTCACGTGTTATCTAGTTGAACATAGTGTTCATGGATATTTAATAAAAATTGAAAGAGTAAAATGTGGGTTTAACTGTTTTTCACAATTCTAATGCTTTCTTTGACTAGTTTTTAAGTAAATTAATGGCGTTGCTGAGTGACATTCAAAACGTATTTCTGAATGCTTCAATTCTTAAATTTAAAAGATATTCTTACCTTAAATAGATATAGTCATGATTTTTTTTGTATATGTAAATAAATAGAAAGAGTATCAAAACAAACAAACAAGCATACTTCTCCGACAACATAGTTTTCTACACATTGATGAATCAAACTTCCTTATACATGCAAGTGATGCCATAAAATCTCAAAGCAAAGGTCGTGGCTCCGGTGGATCTTCATTTGGATCTAGAAAAAAATATAATTCATTTGGTTACAAGAGTAAAGAATGTTCATACTATGGTAGAATTCTACATACTATTGATACATGTTATAGGAAACATGGTTTTCCTCCCCAATTATGGCAAAACCTCTTCAGCTAAAAATACTTCCCTTGAACATACTGAAGTTAAAGATGAAGTTGATGATTCCAAAAGCACAAAAGAAAATGATTCCTATGGTTTTGCTAAAACCAATATGAGCAGCTGATAAGTTTGTTGCAGAATCCTAGCAAAGTGAATGTTGTTAATCACACTAGCATCCATATCACTTCAGGTATTACTCAAATGACTTACTCTTTAAACCAAACTTCATTAGGATATTGGATAGTGGATTATGGGGCAAGTGATCACATTTGTTATTCTCTTAATTACTTCAGACAATACAACGAAATTGTTCCCATTCATGTTAAAATTCCAAATGGCCACATGTCTTTAGCAAAGTATGTGGGAACTGTGCAATTTTCTCCTGACTTAGTCATATTAGATGTGTTATTTGTAGCAGGTTTCAACCTGAACTTATCATCTGTGCCAAAATTATGCCTTCAAAATAATTGTAATGTTGCATTTGATCATGATAAATGTTTGATACATAATAAGAAGACCCTGAAGATGATTGGATTGGCTGAACACATTGAAGGATTGTATTACCTTACCACACAAGCTAAACCAACCTCAACAGTCACAACAACTTCACATGTTAAATCATCCACCATTATCCTCAAATAAGCTCTTTGGCATTTAAGATTAGGTCATCTCTCCAGCTCTAGGCTTTTAAATTTACATCATATGTTTCCCTTTGTAAATGTTGATCACAGTTGTGTATGTGACATATGTCACTATGCTAAACATAGAAAATTAAAATTTTCATTGAGTTCTAATAAAGCTGAAAAATGTTATGAAATATTTCACTTTGATATTTGGGGTCCTATTTCCACCTTTTCCATTCACGGTCATAGATATTTCTTGACTGCTTTAGATGATCATAATAGATTCACTTGGATCATTTTGTGTAAATAAAAATTCGAAATATCTACCCTTGTGCAAAAATTTCTTACCATAATTGAAACTTAATACCATAATCTTGTCAAATTAGTTAGGAATAATAATGTACCTGAATTCCTTATGCCTCAAAAGGAATTGAACATCAAACTAGTTGTGTTGAGACTATTCAACAAAATGGTCGTGTTGAGAGAAAACAACAATATGTTTTAAATGTTGGTAGAGCTCTTCTATTCTAATAAAAATTGCCTAAGCATTTTTGGTCATATGTTGTGTTACAAGATACTTACATCATCAATAGAATCCATAACAATGTCTTACAAAATCAATCACCATATTTCCATATATTTAATGCTCTTTCTAACCTTAATTACAGGACACGTTTTCAGGACACACCACCGACCAATGAAGGTCCTCTTTCTCTTAGCTAGTAAGGAAAAAATGTTTTTAGAGTGGTGATCTCAACAAAACACAGCCGAAGAATACACTCACATTATGTAATTAAGGTGATATCAAAGATCAAAGAAGAAATTGTAGGACACACCAGAGGTGATGTCAAAGATCAAAGAAGAAATTGAAAAGCTTATGAGAAACAAATTCATACGAACTGCAATGTATGTTGAGTGGTTAGCAAATATAGTCTTTGTCACTAAGAAAAATTGAACTTTTAGAATTTGTATTGATTTTAGAGATTTAAATACTGACACTCCAAAATACAAATATTCAATGCCTATTGCAGAAATGTTGGTTGATTCAACAATAAATTTTGAGTATTTTAAGTCTTTTAGAAGGCTAATCAGGGTATAACCAAATTTTTATTGCAGAAAATAATGCTCCAAAAATGAAATTTTGATATCCTAAGGCCTTAGGAACTTATGAATTGGTAGTGATACCTTTTGGCCTGAAGAATGTTGGTACATCATACCAAAGGGTAATGAATATTATGTTTCACGATTTCATTGAAACCTTTATGCGGGTTTATATTGATGACATCACTGTAAAATCCTCGTCAAAAGATGGCCATTTATACCACCTTCGACATCAAAATAATGAGGAAATATGGATTGAAAATGAATCTATTAAAATGTGCTTTTGGTGTCCATGCAGGAGATTTTCTGAAATTTGTAGTTCATAAAAAGGCATAGAAATTAATCAAAATAAGATAAAGACGATACTCAATACAAGCTCACTGTCGAATAAAAAGCAACTTCAATCTTTGTTGGACAATATTAATTTTCTAAGGAGGTTTATTTCAAATTTAAGTGGTAGAACAAAGATATTTTTGCTGCTACTTCATTTAAAGAAACAAGAAGGGCTTAAATGGAAATCAGAGCAACAACAAACTTTTGATGACATTAAAAATTATTTGATGAACCATCATATCTTGTTACCTCCTATGAGAAATATAGATACTCAGGAGTGACCATTGTTGTCGTGTGTGGAAGGTGGATTATTGGAGCTAATCTTTGTTTTGTTATTTAATATCATACATTTATGGTTTTTAGTTCTCTGAGTGTGTAACACCGGGGACAAGATTTGTTACGTTTTGAGTTTATATTGGTTTTTGTTGTTTTGAAGTTCATTACTTTATTTATGAAGTTGCTATGAAATGTTTTTCTGCTGCATATTTTAAAATGATTTGATGTATTTCAAAGGATTGTTGTTGGTGACACCTTAAATTTCCGTGTAAATATTTTTAAATAAGTTTTGGAGTTTAGGGTGTTATATGCACCACTATTCGAAATCTTTAGTGAAGAAGAAGGAAGCTTCAAAATTGAAAGGGATCAGATTAATGAATTTTTTGGCATGAAAGTCTAAACACGCCTGGTAGTTCCTCTCCGCCAGCGTGGTATTAGCAACCCAAATTTATCTATCTTTAGTAAAACGTGATCTTGGTAAGAACTTGCTAAAACCTAATTATTTGGTCATCAAGTTTGGATGATATCCAATAAGACTCAAGCCAACTTTCCCCATCACAATCCTAGTCGACAAGATAAATGGTTTAAAGAAATCTACTTAGATGTTGAGAGCCTCATATTGGTTTTCAGGTGAAAAATTAGAAATCCTCTTCTGAACCAATCTGGTCCATATCTTCGATCGATGAATGGTGCCATAGAAGAAGTGAATGTGGCACAATCCACATTCATGAAGAAATATTTTATAAAGGCTTTTTCAGTTGATAAGTCAACGTTGTCTAGGGTTAGCAAAGCAAGTCTAGTGCCTTTAACTTGTCTTGCCAAATCGGATGGAACTGTAACATTTAAAGAAGGTTCAGAAGTGGCATTAAATCAAAGTTGTAAAAGCCATACATGACTAGAAATCAAGATATTTTTAGTCATAATTGGATATGTTTTTGAGTTCGAGGTAAGCAAGTCTAATGATTCATAGAAGCAACCCATAACTAATCTGTTAAGATAAACATTTTGCCCCTCATAAAGTTGGGTTGATAGAGAGATGTACATTTTGGCTATTTGGAGAAAACTAGAACAAAAAATGAAATGGGATAACCATAGGGTAAGGAAGGAAATGTGCTCGTAGTAAGAGACTTCTTCGAGTTGGTCATGATGGTCTTTAACGTATGCGGTGAAGCTAGGATGGTCGAAGGTAAAAATAAGTTTGAATTTGTTCTTGAGAGCGGGGTTTAAAGTTTCCTCTATTGATTGGAGACCGGTAATGGCAGCAACGTGAAAAGTGCGAGGGTTATCATCCCCAATGAAGATGGAATGTATTAGTTGAACCATCCCAAAAATAAAAGGCAGATATGAGAATGTTGGCATTGTACTTTGGACCAGTTCGTGAGAGTTGAATTGGGTCGAAGATACTTGGTCTTGCTAGAATTTTCCTTTCTAATTTTCTACTATATTCAACCAATTGAAATAAGCTTCATTGCTAATGTAAGGAGAAAAATGGAATATGCAGAGGGGGTTGGTCCATGAATCCTAATTCTAAGCATTTATCCTCAAACGCACGAGGTTTACAGTAAGTTAAACAAGTGATAAAATTTTCCAGTTTATTAGGATTTATAGATGATCAGGATAAAGGATCCAAAAATGCATGAATATTACCTGAAATAGAGAAATGAAATAATACATGGGAAACCCAAATAAGGAATTTATCTTTCTTTATTGATGGTTCAAGAACGTAAATACGATCGTTATAATAGATAGGACCTTGAATATCAGCAACTGAAGGGATTGAAAGTTGTTTTGTTGTACTAGAAGAGGAAGCCATTTGTTTTCTAGAACT